ATTATGAAATGCAAATCACAAAATGCTTCAGGTGCAAAGACAGCAAGAAAGTGCAAGGAACTTAAAAACCAAGAGTGCAGAAAGAGTTTACAATATTTATGTTGTCAGTGCACCAGGTGGGACCAAAGACAGGACAAAAGGAGGGTCGCAGGTCCATTTTGGTTGCACACTGTACAGTATTTTGGAGTATTAGGGTCACCCAGAAGTGACACAAGACCCTAACCCACAGATGTACAAATCACTAAACAAGAAGTACACTTTAAATCAAAGCTAAAATAAAATCTGTATACAAGAAACAAAAACACATACCTAAACTGAACAATAAAAGTAGACACGAGTGCAAATACATCAAATGATGAAGAAAAATATAGAATTTTAAATTAAGATGTTTTTGTAGAATCCGGTTCATCAGATTTAATTCAGTTTATTTATATAGCGCCAAGTCACAACAGAAGTTGTCTCAGAGCACTGAACAGAAACATTCATATTTAAAAATAATAATTTAACATTATTTATCTGAGGAGCACACTGCTTTGAACTGAAGTTCATTAAAATTATTATTAGCAGGATTTTGGATTCTGGACGTGCCTCCAGAACCGGTCCTGAAGTTCGGTGGAAATCCTATGTGTAAAAAGCTGATCTGAGCAGGGGTGGTGGGAAAGGGGCATTTGTTGCTCAGTGAGGGGGAGGGTGGTGGTTGGTAAATGAAGGTATGTGTTGTGAGGAGAGGAGGGGGGTGCACCCGGCCAGCACACCATCTGGCTGGTTGAACTGGACTTTCTGATGATGATATATGTGGTGTTCACATGAATAAAAATAACTTCAGTACATGAAAATGCCAAAACAAATGTGTATTTAATTAAGAATATATATATATATATATAGTTTATAGATTGTATATCCTATAAAACTTACTTTGTAAAACTATTGTGTATATATTATAATTATTGTACATCTGGCAACACTGGTAATGTTAACAGATGAGACACAAGTGTGTGTGACAAGCGTCAAGCATTACAGGGTAGCAGAAGAGAATGAATATGAGATTGGAACAAAACTAAAAACCTAAAACTGCCAGGCTGAAACAGAAGCACCAAACAACAGATGGATGAGAAGCAGAAAACACTGGTGGATATTAGTAATAAGGAAAGGTACCAGTAAAATATCTGGGAAGATAATGAAGTCAAAACAAAACGCTCTGAGCACAAATTCATCATCACACAACACGTTTGTTTAATACGTGAAAAACATTGGGTGAGAATAAATCCTTCAAGAGATAATACATAGTTTCAATTTGTCTGCATTTAAAGTGATAATTCCACTATTTTCAAGTGGGGATTCATAGAAAGGTTATGTAGAAGTAAAAGAAAACTTACTTGTGGTAGATAGCTTTTTGCACAACTTCAGTTCAGAAGGAATAAAGTTAAACTCAGACTGGTGAAACAACAGGTAGGTGTAGTGAGACCAAGACTAAAGTTTCTGTTTTCCCCAGACTATGATTGTTTGTACTAGCTGATCAATAGTAGTCTGTCCTCTGATGTGGTCCCTGATCATTTTGAACAAGCAGTGGTGCGACCTCTAGTTAAAAAACCTGGTCAGGATCACACAAATTTAGCTAATTTTACACCCATTTCTAAACTTTATTTTAAGTCCTTGAAAAGGTTGTGCACAGATAGAGCTTGTATTTCTTGAAGAGCATAAAATCCTCAAGGTTTTCCAATCAGTTTTAAAAACTCTCCACAGCACTGAAACAACTCTTAAATGCTTTTAATTATATCCTTTTAGCTAGTGTCATCCTTATGCTGTTAGATCTAACTCAGTTCTTCTCATCCTGAGCATTTCTTTGTACTTTTAACCTTATGTTAACTTTGCATATGACAAATACACACAACAAGAACTGCTGCTTTTAACACTGTGGACCATGACATTCTGCTAACTCGTCGGGAGCATCGGGTGGGAATTAAGTGTGTTGCCTTAAAATGGTCTTATTTGACAAACCGAACATTCTCTAATGGTCTTGAAGGGTCAGTTTTCTCCTCCTTTTGTGGGGGGAGTCCCTCAAGGCTCAGTTTTAGGCTCACCTTTGTTTTCTCTCTATCTGCTCCCACTTGGTTCCATGCTCAGAAAACACAAGATTTTATTCCATTGTTATGCAGATGACAGTCAGACTTATATCTCTCTTAAAAAGTGAATAGATTAGTCAGTCAATCCACTTCTTAGGTGTCCTGAGGACATAAAGGCCTGGATTGTACTAAATTTCTTGAGTTTTAACAAATCAAAGACAAAGGTAATGGTTCTTGGAGGTATGCTGGGCCCTCCCCTGTAGTCTAGGTTCCTTGATCTAGTACAGCAAATTGGCAAGCAGTGAGGAATTTAGGAGATTAACTTGTTATGGACAATTTAATGATGTTTTGTGTTACTACTGTTTTCCTGTTATTGCTAAAAGTGTGTATACCTATCTGTTGACTTTTGGACTGTTCTCTGTAAGGCACTGTGTTGAAACTCAAGACGTGATAGTACCTATCTGTTTTGACTGTTGGACTGTTTTCTTAAGGCACTGTGTTGAAAGCATGACTCATCATAATTGGTTGAGTGTATGGTCAGTTGAGTGTATAATCAATTAAGTGTATTAAAGGAAGCAGCCTAAAACTGTTAGGCAGAGAGAGCTGCTTACCTGATCATGAGTCAGGTGTGTCCCTCTCTCACCCCTTGCAAGGAACAATAAAATACAAATAAGTTGGATTGTGCTTTCTTGTCTTTTATTTATAAGTCTCAATAAAAAGTTCCACAACAAACTGGATCTTGAAATTATAAAATCAGATCAGGACAGTTGTTAAAAGAAGGTTTTATCACTTGAGACAGCTCGCCAAGATAAAACTCATAATCCCACATTCCCATTTTATCCTCACTCCACTGGCTGCCCCTGCATCTTAGGATACATTTTAAAATACTTTGATTTGAGTATAAATCTATAGAATGGTCTTTTTTGTTTTTATTGTCTGATCAGCTCTTATGCATTTGACTGTTTTTGAATTACCTGGTTTTATTTTGCTTGTGTTTTTCCACTGTAGCCGTGTTTTAATGTGATTTTGTACAGCACTTTGGTCTGTTGTGGTGTGTAAAGTGGTTTACAAATAAAGCTGGATTGGACTGGAAAGTTTATTGCTGCTGTTCTTACTAAACAGTACATTAAAATGATATTTTGTAAAGCTTAGCACCACTTCTAATTTCTCATGACATGGTTAATCCTGCAGAAACTTCTGATATGCCTAATAGAAGTGCCAGACCGCACTACAAATGCTACAGCCAGCTAGCTGCTGCTGCTATTAAGTTATTAATAACCATAAAACTATATACGAATAATCATGTATTGTATCACTGATAAAATAATAATAATAATAATAATAATAATAATAATAATAATAATAATACAATAATACATTTTATTTGTAGATGCCTTTCTTGGCACTCAAGGTCACCTTACAT